AAGGCTAGTGGGAGTATAGTAACTTTTCTGGTGTTTATGTCGATGACATATTACTCATTGGTAACGACGTTCCAACCTTGAAAGAGGTTAAGTCTTGGCTGGAAAGTGTTTTGCAATGAAAGACCTTGGAGAAGCTGTCCTATATTCTTGGGATTAAAATATTGAGAGATAGAAGAAGAGACTAATTGGACTTAGTCAGAGCACATACTTGGATAAGGTACTAAAGAGGTTTAGTATGGAAATTCCAAGAAGGGAGAGCTACCTATCCAGAGCAATACCAAATTGAGTAAGACTCAATCCGAGTACAGATGTTGAAATAGATGACATGAGTCGTGTACCTTATGCTTTCCGCTGTCGGATCGATCATGTACCTATGACATGTACTCGCCCTGATGTGGCATTTGCTTTGACCTGGTCAGTCGCTATCAGGGAAACCCAGGTAGAGCTCATTGGATAGCAGTTAAGAATATACTCAAGTATTTGCGAAGGACAAAGGACTGGGTCCTTTGTGCTGGTGGCAGTGATACTTTAGAGTAGATGGTTACAGTGATGCCAGCTTTCAGACGGATAGAGATAACTTTCCGTTCTCAGTCGGGCTTGTATTTTTACTGAATGGAGGAGCAGTTTACTTGGAAGAGTTCCAAGCAAATACGGTGGCTTGATTCTACTTGTGAATCAGAGTACATTGCAGGCAAGTGAAGCGTCGAAAGAAGCAGCTTGGTTGAGGAACTTCATCGGGATCTCGGAGTTGTTCCAACCATCCAGGAGCCTATGGAACTGTTCTGCGCATAATGAAGGAGCGGTTGCCTTGCTTGACAGGAACGAGAGATCATGGTAAGACAGACATATCGACAGAAAGTACCATTTCATTAGACATAGAGTTAAGAAGGCCATCTTATAGTAAAGAGGGGGTCATCTGAAGATAACCCAGCAGATTCCCTCACAAAGGTCTGATAGGGCTAAGCATATTCAGCATGCTCGGAGCAGCATAGGACTGAAAGATGATATTAGTTTTAGTATTAGATTGTTTTTGAAACTTGTAACAAAGTAAATGTAATTGACTTTGGTGATTAAATACTAAAGTATTATTTATAAGTTTGGCTACTACCTTTTGTCAATTGTTATTATTGTGTTTCAATTTGCATGTTTTACTTCCTGAATAGGAGATTATTCAAACTCCACAGTCGTCGTACTCTTGGAAGTAAGTAGTGAATTAAGACTGTCATGAATTGGATTGCAGATTTGTCTAAGGATAGACATGGCAATAGAATTGCGCAACGTTCATGAGTACTCAGAAATTGAGATTTGAGTATTGGATAAACCCTCGCTCAGAGTATTACTTCATGGAATTCATCACGGTAATACTGAGACGATAATATCTTATAATCTTGAACGAAGATATATGAGTTGTAATTTACAAGTCGGTTGTGTATTGGTGATACGAAAACCGCATCAGTAACTTGGTGTTATAAAACGTATTGTCATGCATGATTGATGAGTAAAAGATACAAGCATATGAGTCAAACGTTTATTCGTTCCTTTTGCCCTAACAGGAAAAGCGATATATGTGGGCCCCTCGATGATTTGGTGTTGACTTATGTGCTGGGCCCAGCCAGGACTAAATTGATGTGTTCGATTAGAAGTCCTACATCATCACAAATCAGGAATCGGGAAACATAGATTCTGGACAAACAGATTGATTACATTCCATGTCTTTTGTCTGGGGATATCAAGCAGAACGAAGGGTTATATGATCACTTATCTTAGGACACGTAACTGACTGGGTCAGAGTTCGGCAGCAGCTTTTTGGAAGCTACAATTTGCTGGTCAAATTTAGAAGGCATACTAGCAATTATAGTTACAGACTTATCCAAGTGGGAGACTGTGGATTAGGTTCTAAGCCCATAACTATAATTGGTATGTACTTGAATTGATAGCAGCACAGTCCTTTTGGGTTGCCCTCAACCTAGCAACTGGACAAGGAAATTATGAAGGAGAGATATTAATTTATAAGATTAATAAATTAATATATATATATATATATAATATATATATAAATGATTTATTAAATGTTAATGGATTAATATATTAATTAGAAATCATTATGTTTAATTAATTGTTAGCCAGAAATTAATCAGAATTGATTTTGGGGTTAAAAGAATTAATTATAAGGTGCAGGGACTAGTTTGCAATTATCTAATAGTTGAGTGGAAGGCTCTAGAACCCCCTTGGAAGAGGGTGGACGAAATCTTTAGGGGAAACCCTAATAATTTCGTCCATAGGGGCTTGGATAAGGCCCTTGGGTTTGCTTAGGCCCTAAGCAAAGGATAACTAGGGTTTCCCTTAAACCCTAGATCCATCAGCTATATAAGGAGCCTCCTGGTTCATGTTTTTGGTCACTCTTTCTTTTGAAGAAACCCTAAGGCCGAGATTTTGCATACTCCCTCTCCCCTCTCTTCTTCTACTTTCCTTCTTGCTAGTTTGGGTGTGATTCCATTAGAGGCATTACACTTGTGGTGCTAAAGCTTCCAAGAAGATCAAGATAAAGATCAAGGGAATATCAATTGTTTGCTATAACAATTGAAATGTATGTAAACCCTAAACCCTAGTTTGTTATTTTCGAAAATAGCCTCTCTCCTCTAGGGTTCTTGTTTTGCAATTCAAAGTTGTATGTTCAATAGTTAAAACATAGATCCAAAGTAGGTTGCATGTGAACTTAGGAATTGTTTTCTAGTTTATTTATTGTACCTAAAACCCTAACAAAAACATGTTAAGAGGTAGAGAAAAAAAAAGGAGATGAAGAAAAAGGATTTGATTGGCTTACTCCCCCGTTGCAAGATGTCATAACGCAAACGAGATATGGCATAACACCAAGGGGAAAATGGTGTTCATTGTGTTATGACCGCGTTATGGCAAAAACATCGTTGTTGGTACCCATACCGTGTATTCCTATAAAAAAAATGGGTTAAGAATGAGGAGAGCGGGTTCGGCACCCTCTTCGTCAAAGTCGATGTGGCTCGGTAAATATATATCCGCTTTTTTGGTATGTTGAGGTTTGCATACCAATTCAGCAGGAAGATGTTGAATCTCTCTTCATCATTTCTTCTCCTCTACCATGTCCCTCTCTTTCTTGTTCGTATCTTATTTCCCATGTGCACTCACTCCTTTTGTCCAACAACACCATCATACTTGTTGGTATAAAGTTTCTTCTGGACCTTGGGAAGATATAAAGTTCACACATTTATCACTCATAATGTTTGTTTCATAATTTAACAAGTGTATGGACAAAGAATGGTCAGGTTGAATTTTTTCCCAAAATAGGAGTTTTCGACTAAAATCTCTATTAAGGACTTAATGGTTTAAGACATATATAAAGGGCTTAATATGTATGAATGTCGTAGGTTATGGCAAGGAAGGAGTTGGGTCCTACAAGAGAATGTTTGGAGAAGTTGGAAGTAGGTTTCTATTACGCTTCAAGAGGTGAGTTATAATCTCTTTTAGAGTATGATTTAGTAAGATAGATTGAATGCTGAAGTATATATGTGTGAATACATGAAAGTAGAATATGTTATTGTTAGTAGTGACATACATGTTTGATGAAATGATGTTATGTTATGATATTACCAAATGAAATTATTTGATGAATTGTTAGTCTAGGTTATTTATGTACACATATATGAAGAGTTTGAGATAAGATTTAGAAAAAGTAATTCATCCAATATGAGAGATCCATGAGGGATCCACAGAAAGATTGTTGTTGGATGTTACATGGAAACTATTTAGATAACAAAGTTTGGTTCCTTGTGTATCGGTAAGAGTAGAGATATGTGGTCATTCAATATGATCAACACAATCACTTATGTGACTAGTGAGAGATATGAAGTATACGAGATAAGAGATTGTCATTATGTATGTTATGTTATATATGTTGTTTCCATGTACCTACAGGTTCAAGTAGCAAGCGTTAGAGAGTGTGGATGTAGAAGCATCAAGAATTTGGACTGGACTTTTGTTTTATGATTTATTCTTGTTGCTATAATTGTGGTTATGATATGAATTGGTAAAACTCATAAATGTTTTCTGGAAACACTTTTAAAGATTCTTGGAAATATTGGTTTGTGATGATGTAAAATACTTTAATATTTTTCAGCATTTGAATGTTAAATGTTTATAAAAAACACGAGTCGTTACAACTCCTACTTTCATTTCATATGCATCAAAGTTGCTCAAAACATAAACAAAAGAAGTGTATCATGTGGACTTGTACAAAAGTTGTGCATAAATTTAAAACAAGACTCGTTTATTCTAAGTCCATCGGTTTGTGTTGAGTACTACCACTTCCATCATTTTGTAAACTTTCTTCCTCATGCCATTCAAATAAAATTGCAATCCTCTTTATAATTTGGCATAGTACCACCAGAAATTATTGTTGAGTAGGATTAGGAACTTCAACATCAAGTTCCACTTAAGGTTAACCTTATTCCACTTGAGGTTCAACTTTTGTTTCAAATATGATTTTCATAGTATTAATGCATTATCTCTCAAATTATAATAATTTCTTTGCTGGTCACAACTAATTACTTAAATCCTAATTGTTTGTTCAATGTGTGTGTTCAAACATAAGCCTATAATAACCGTTAGTGTATATCGTCAGCTATACATCGTCTCTTATGCTTTATACATATTTGAGTCTACTCACACTACGTAACCATTTAAAAACATATATATTAGACTCTACATATATATCTTACGATAACAATCAACAATCTAAAAACAATATTGAAAAACAATCCAAAAGCACAATATTCAAATCGATACCACAAATTCTTTTGAAAGAGACAAAACATTTATTTAGGACAGAGGGAATACTAAAGTTTTACATGTCCTTCATGTGGTCCAATACCACCTTCTATCCATATCACTTTTATTGAGGTTCTTATTCATTCGTCAATCAACAAATATCCAAACGACAGCGTGGCAGTTTCACAAGCTTGTAGCGGCAACTTACCAATGACGATCTGACACGTTGTCGGTTGTATAATAATTTCAAATATTCAGGTCATAGACGATACAAACTCGCCAATAAGCTACGTAATCGTATTTCTTCCCCCATAACGCATAATGTTGGCGATCGAGGGGCCACAGGCTTGACTTGTGGACTCTGTTCACTCTGAATCGGTTACATTTGGTCCCATCTCCCTCGAATGAATCTCAATCTTCAACTCCTACTGCGAATTATTGTCCTCTATCTTCCTATTAGAGATTAGGTAAGTACGGACTTTGCTATGTGTGTCTTCGTTTATGAAATTGATTCTCTCATTCTATTGAATTTCCAATTTCTTCTGACTATCATTGCAATTTAGCTCTTACTCAAGTAAATCGGGAAACATGTAAGTAAGCATCAGTGGGAACCATTTTTATGATGTGTTTTTGCCATAATTTGCCCTAAATCATTAGGTTTTCACTTCACATACAGTATAATGGAGTTTAAGTTACTTCTGCATGTTCGAAAATGTATAAGCATTTAGCCCTTTTCTTCAGTTGTTTAGTTCGTTATCATTATTATCAAGTCATGATTGGGATTTTGGTTACGCAATTTGATTTTACCTGTTACTGTTGAAGATTTTGCGAGGTTTATGCCTATGGAGTCAATTTAGTTGATGCCCTAGCTCGCTCAAACTTTAGGAATATGTACTTGATAGAAAGACCGACTCCTACTAATGATACCAAAGGAGTTATACATCCCTTAGATTGCTAATTTTGAGTCTGTTTGGACAATGAAGAAGAGAACTGTGTTTCAAATAATATATGATGGTTTCAGTTTTCAGTTTTCACCCGTATTTAGTTCCTACTGGGATGTTCTATTTAACAGTATCTTCTATATAAAATCTTCATTTATTCCTGATATATCAAACTTGCATACTTCTGATCCTGATCCTTTATGATTTATCCCAACAGAGTGACAATCAACTTTACATGGCTAAAGTTCATGGGATCATCTACTCTTCTGTTAAAAGTCCTCATCATCCCACATCAAACAGTAACACTCAAGGATTGGTACCAAACAAGTTCAGCCATGGGCAAAGTTCTGTGTTAAAACTGAAGTTATCAGGCAAGACAACACTGAATACATTTGAAAAAACAATTAGTTCAGTCACTTCACGGGCTTATTCTTTCTTATGTCGTTCAAGAAAATCACAAACTACAGAAACAGAAGAACGTGTAAACCACAATGAAGATTGCTCTGACAATTTCAGGTATAAATATAATCACTCAAATATGCACATCATACTCCTTTTTCTAGCAATTATTATGTTCTTTTGCATGTAGCAGAACTCAAGGAGGACATGAACAACATATGCATCCAGAAAGAATTGGCATCACAAACAAAGCATTAGCTGAAGCTTGTAAATATGCTTACAATGATGCTAGATTTGTAAACGAAAGGGCCAAAAACGACATTTTCTTACTTTCACGGTTTGCCTATTTTCCCTATTATGCTCATACAATGATGACCTGGCATGCTGACTGGATTTTTTTTTTATTAGTGGCATTATGAGGTTGGATGCTCGGGCACGCCAAGATGTTGCTATTCTTGGTTTAGGATTTTTAAAACTTGATGGTAATTAATATTCTATATAATAAACTGATATTCATTGAGTATAAAATATAAATATGTTCACAAATTTTTTAAACAACTTGTTTTGGTAGCTCGTGCTAGAGAGGACACTGAAAAAATTGACAATAATGTGAAGAAAAGAGCTGAGCGACTTCATCACATTGCCCTTGTACGTATAATTTTATCTATTTCTTTATTTTTAAAAACATTTTCCATACCTTGATAACATTTACACACTTTTTTTTTTTGTTAATAGATTTTAAAAAACAAAGCTGAATCCAAATTGAAAAGCGTTGCTGACCGACATTGGAGTGATGGAGCTTTAGAGGTGCCTTAAGTTAAATCTGTAAATTTAATAATTAATATTCTCGTTTCTGATTTTTTTTTTATAATCATTAGATCTTTCATTTAAAAATTAAAATATTTATTTTGGTAGGCTGATCTCCGGCGTGCTGACTATATAGCCAAACAGCGAGCCATGGAAGATGCCCTCATGGCTTTAGAGGTACGTTTTGGTGTTCCACAATTTTTTTTTATATATATTTACGACAATGTATTTGACTATTTTCATTTTTTTTTTTACTATTAAACCCTTGTGAAGTTTATCAAAGATGTTCAAGACATGATGATGAGCAAGATGTATAAGCTGTAAGTTCCTCTACTTTTATAGACAAAATTGTGTAGACTATACTGATGTCAAACTATGTGTAGGAAAAATGGAGCTTTGTCATCTGATGACATGGCGGGTCAAATAACACTTGAAAAGAATGGGAAAGTTCTAGACTTTTTCCCTGGTGAGGTGTCAACTGATCGCATTACTGCTATTCAGGTCTGTTATAATTTATAAAATATAAATCACATTTTTTTCTTCAACATTTTAGATGTCATTGTAAATTTATAAATATATGTTCAGGAGGCTTATCGGGATATGGCATCTGCACTTTCTGAGGCTGATGGAATTGACTATACTGACCCTGAAGAGGTCAGCTGAAAAAGAAAACCAAAATACAAATTTCAATTTTTTTTTAAAAAATGAAAGTAGGATGCTAATTCCATCTCTCACAGCTCGAGTTGTTGGTTGCAACATTGATGGATCTTGATGCAATGGATGGTAAAGGGAGTGTGTCATTATTGGCAGAGTGTTCAAGTTCTCCTGATGTCAATACAAGGTATGTATATCAAGGAGGGTATTTAGGTCATTTGTACAATCTGTTGTGTCGTGTGTTAACAAATTGGGATATTGTTGCAGAAAAGCATTGGCTAATGCTTTATCAGTTGCACCATCGATGTGGACACTTGGCAATGCAGGCATGGGAGCTTTACAGGTAACTGATTTTATTTTCATGAGGAAAGGGTATTTTGGACATTTAAGTGATGGGGGATAGAGAAGTGTGTGCTTATAAAATATTTGGTTGCAGAGATTGGCAGAAGACAGTAACCCAACGATTGCAGCTGCAGCATCTAAAACCATATCAGAATTGAAGAGACAGTGGGAGATAGAAGAAGGTGACAACTATAGATTTATGATGAATCAGATTCCATTGCCAAAGTTAGACTACAAAGATGATGATGATGATGATGATGAAACACAAGACTAATATGGTTAACTTTTAGAAAGATGATATTAATGTAATGTAGATAGATATCTCATAATTTGTAACATATTAATGATGCCTATAGGTTTTACGTCTTTTTATTTCTACAACTTCCTCCTCATGGGACGATGTTCGTTATGATTATGGAAAATAGATGGCATTGTTATGACATGGGGTCTATTATGAATACAAGGGAACTTATTTGCATAAAAAAAGCATCTCTAGACTCAATAATAGGTACTAACCTTATATGAATCATTAGGTTTAATACCGTTGAATTTATATGTACGTTTTGACATATTTTGTTTTTTGTGATTTAAACAGGAGCGTAGTTACATTATGTGAAGGTGCATCCTAGGATCTTTTTTTTTTTTTTTAATTGTGATAGATGGTATATATGAAAGAAAAAAGAACTATCTTATTATTTATAAGGGAACTACCTAATTATCTAAAAAAAACGATATGCCCATATTTTTTATACACAATAACCATTTATAATAGCCCAATATTTCAGTATATCCTTAATCCATTTAAAGTTAAACAAACGAAAAGTATAAACGTCACATACAAATTACGATTCAACGACATTCCTAACTGCGTAGGATTCAGTTATAAGAACTTTATTATAACTATTGAAGTGATGTTTAATTATTTTAAGGCATACGACCCGACCCCCACCACTAATATTTTTTCAGTTTCAATAACATAAGAAACCACGTGGTTTTTTTTGTTCTAGATTCGCCATTGAATTTACATCATTTAATACTCATTTTATTATCATTGATGTAGTAATGTTGACAATATGGTATTAAGGTTGTGCATTGTATATTTAGGATGTTTATGAATACAACATATGTAGATAAGGTAAGCCATAAACCTCGAAAGTAATGTTGACATTTTTCTTATTTGTTGTTATTTTGTAAAGAAATTCGTGAGCGGGTTATTAGTATATGCTTCTGGCTTAAAAGCACCAAAATATAAAAGAATAAAAGTTATTTAATTTATATTTTTAATTAAATGGAAACTAGATGGGTGAGTAACTGAGTATAAAAGAGATCAAAACCCTAGTTTTGGTCTTTTTGATGCCTTTGATCGATCAATGATTCAAGGGAGAGGAGGAGAACCAAGATGGGTGATTTTTGTATTGAATGGAGGAGTTCAGGATGATGAGTTGATCTGTTTAATAAAATGGGTTAAAATTACCGTCCAACTCAACCTTATAATTACCGAGTTGAGATTTTATAACCCAATACAACATGTTAAATAAACAACTTGAAATCAGGCACAACCTGCTACTATGGTCAAGTGCGTGCTATGTCATTAGAAACTTCATTCAAATACTAATTCATATTCGTAATACTTCGGACCACTGAAATCATATAAGGGATCATATTCACAACACTTCGAGGTTTTTGCATGTTACCATAATCTCAACACCCAACACCGTAAATGATATAAGGGATCATATTCAATGATATTTATCAATTAGGCGATATCGCATTATAATCTTCATTCAAACACTAATCCAAACATCATTAAACATCAAATCCCAATTACAACATTAAACCCAAAGGTTTCCACCATTTCATACCCAAACATAAAAAATGGAATCAAAAGAGATTAATATTTATCTTTGGAATTTATCAATGAATTTTCCTTAGCAATTCACATACTTTTCTCAAAAACTCTCCCCTATCTCTCCTCTCTTGCACAAAAGATGGTTCTAAACCCTTAACAGGATTTATCTCCAAAAAATTTCTTCATTTTCACAGTTAAGTCACAATATGTAACACTGAGGTTAGATATCTAAGTTTTTAACATTTAAAATCATGAAAAATGCCATTATCGGGTTTAATTTGGTATTTAATTGTGAAACTGCGTGTTAATGAGTAATTATGATGACAATTTTTATTTTTATATTTTTTTAAACTTCTTTATATGCAAATTAAGTCATGATGAGAAATTTAAGTATATTGCTATTTTGATACTTAACCTTAATTGTGTTAAAAGATTACAATTTAATTTAATAAATACAATACCAATTTATTTACATACAATTGAATTGAAAGTTGGCGATTGAGACAATAATCCAATTTATGTAAGTTTCGTAACTAAATTGTGGGGAAAAAACGGTTTATTTATTATTTTTAGAAAACTAATTAGGATAATTGTACATTTATGTGAAATAAGCGGATTGAATTTATCCATCACTTTCTCTCCACTCAATATGGAAATACAAATTTTGAAATTTGTTTTTAGTGTGAGAATCGGTTATTGATGTCTATAATGAATTAATTATATATACTCTTCATAGTTCATAATATAATTCTTGAATGCAAAAAAATAAAATAAAAATTACACTGTTAATATCAAAATTAAATCCGGTTATTTAATAATCGCGTTTAAAAGCTATTTTATAAGCTATAGAAGAGACAAGACTCAAGAGAGAAGAAGACAAGAATAAAGAGAGCAAAAAAAGACAAAGTTCCAAGTAACTAGAATTTAAATACTCACACCTTCTACACATTCGACACGTCATCGATCACATACCTTCTAACGACACGTCATCGATCCACATCGATAAACAAATCCAAAGCCGTTAATCCCATCACCCTCGAAAATCACAACCGTCGAATTTATTTAGGAAGCTAGAATCCTCTCATAAATTGTCTTCACGTAGACCTTCCCCTTCACTCATCATTCATCACCCACAAAGCTTCTTACTACGCTCTTTCAATGGCCACTGAAGAAGATACCAACCTCCCATCACTCCCGCCCTATCCTCAGGTAACCGTTGATCTTCGTTTTTTTACAGAATTCAAGAAAAGCAATCGAGGATTTGAATTGGTTTTCAGTTTTTATGACATCGATTTTGAATTGTGGGCCTACTGTGCAGATGATTTTTGAAGCGATTGATGCTTTGAAACAGAAAGAAGGTTCGAACAAATCATCGATATTAAACCACATCGAATCAACTTACGGTAATTTACCATCTGGAGGCACGGCGTTATTGACGGAAAATCTGAAGAATTTGAAGGACAGTGGTGAATTAGTGTTGTTGAGGAACAATTATATGAGACCTGATCCTAATTCCCCATTGAAACGTGGCCGCGGACGTCCTTCGAAGCCGAAGGATCCGGCGGCGTTGGAGAAGAATCCGGCAGCGGAGTCCGGGTCAGAGGTGAAGAGGGGGAGAGGCCGGCCGAAGAAAGATCCGAATTCGCCACCGGCGGCGAAGAAGGTTAAGATTTCGACTGGTAGTGGTAGGCCGAGAGGGAGGCCGCGGAAGGTGCAGCCGGAGTTGACAGGTGTTGAAGTTAACTGACGACGACTTGTTTTAACGGGAAACTAAGTATTTGTCCAGACTGAAATGACTAAATCCAGGATCTATGTGCTATGGAGAATTAGCAATGTTCTTTTGCACTTTGAAAATAGTATTACTAGCTTCTTGTGCTTGTCTTTGCTCTTAAGGGTGTGTAATGTAATTTAGTGTTTGTGATGTTGTAATTATAGCTACTCTAAATGGATACTTGAGGTTGAAGAGTCATTTTATTATCTCTAAACAATTAATATAGTAATCAAATGTTCAAATTTTATCATAAAATGTCTATATAAGCCAAGGATAATCTATATTGTAAAGCGCATGATACCTAATCATGATGTAATAGGAAGTAATCTAAGAATATTTTTTATAATCACTCTTGAGTCTTGCCTAAAGAAGTACTCAATTTGATCATAGTAATTGTCTATTTGGTTTCTAACTTTTTATAGGAAAATCTTTGATAATATACCAATATTTTAGATCATATTATGGTTTAATTCAAATGTTTATTTGTTATTTTTTGTTGAAAAAAATAATGACTGTTTCGTTAATTTGGACAAAGTATAAAATAATCGGAATTTTTCTCTTCAAAAAATAAAATTTGGGTGTAATATTTCTCCAACCTTTCATACCAAAGCGTTGTGATAAACTTTATTATTGTGTTCCTAATGAACTTTTACATTATTGTGAGAAACTTTATTATTTTGTTCCTAGTGAACTTTTACATTATTGTGAGAAACTTTATTACTTTGTTCCTAGTGAACTTTTACATTATTGTGAGAAACTTTATTACTTTGTTCCTAGTGAACTTTGATATTCAGGTCTCTCATGTATAAAAAATGTTGTTGGATATAGGTATAGAGTACAGACTTCGTTACAAAAAAAAAATTAGTAAAAGACTCTTGGCGAAGTGTTGTCAGGAGGAATGTACATTCAAGTTATGGGGTTTATGGATGAGTGATGGACACTCTTTTTAAATTAAAACTTTGGAACTTAGCCACAAATGTCATAGGACTTCAAGTTTGGTTCAATCGTAACCTATGTCTAGATTGATAGTCAGAAAATATTAATACACTCTTAGAAAGGGGACTCTTATAGAACACTATGCTTGACTATGGTTTTATGGTGAAGATATTAGAAGATCAAGCTCATGGTAAAAATTACTTTAGTAAGTTGTATGTGTGTTTTGAAGATGTTAAAAAGGGTGTAACAAGATAACTGTGAATCTGTGATAGCTAGGTGCTTCTTATACGGAATTGCTATGTGTTATTAGTAGGGATGCAAATAATCAGATCTTTCCAATTGCATGGGTTGTGGTTTTTGTTGAAATCAAGAAAAAACTAGATTTGCTTTTTAGATTTGCTAGTAGATGATCTTGAACTCCATACTTGACATGGTTTGGCATTAATGTCCAACTATTATGTGTTCTACTTTCACTTTCAGTGTTGGTGTCTTTTGTAGTATTTGTCAATGTTTGTGCATTGTCAAGTAAATAAATAGGAATGAAATATTTTGTTAGGTTAAGAAAAACATTAACATATGGATTCCATATCTTTGTTTGTGGATTCAATATCTTTATTTGTAGACTGTAATCATCAGTCATTAGTGGTTCGTGGAAATACACAAAAATACTAACACAAAATTGAGAAGTACAGAAAGAAAAAATCTTTCATTTGATCACAAAGTACCACCCATGTTCTAACATCTAAACATGCTTCCAAAAGATCATTGATTAACAAATAACAACCAAGAAATACCTACTATTACCCGAAACATATGTATAAGTTGTAAAATACTTCATACCTAATTGAAATTTTCTAATGGTTTGTCCCACTTTCACACGTAATAATTCTCTAACATTAGAGCCACAATAAAATTAGGTGGACATTATATCCATATTTAAATGTAAACGAATGAAAAAGATAGCATATATCACTTTCACCTATTTAACATGTAAAATGTCATTTCAAGAACTTAAAATATGCAAACAAAAAAAGATTTATGATCAATTCTGACCATTAATCCAACAAATATAATTCAAAACAAGTATGTTGTCTTTAATACTAACATTAATCCGAAAATATAATTCAAAACGTATGAAGTATTTTGCAACTTACTTATACATATGTTTTGAAATAGGTCATATTTCAAGAATTAAAAATGCCACCGAAGGTAGAAAGGCATGGTTAATACTTAATACTAATTATAATGAACTCAACTCATCATCAATTTATCATAACATCAACTCATTCACTGATTGTCCCTTAACCTCCCATGAAACGTAAATCTCCATATCCATCTCCTATAAATTCCAACTCCAATATCATCTTCATCATCCATTTCCCATATCATCTTCTTCAACAAAATCAATGGCTAACAGTTTCCAATTAATCTTCCTAACCCTTCTCATTTCAACCACTTCCATGTTGGTTGACACCAGGCCCTTCATCCCCATAGGTGCTCCATCACCAACTCTACTCGAGGAATTAGCCACCGGTGAAGATATTGATTCAACTGGGTGTTGGGAGTCATTGTTCGAGCTTCAATCATGCAGTGGAGAAATCATACTGTTCTTCCTAAATGGAGAGACTTATCTCGGAATGGGTTGTTGTAAGGCGATTGAGAAGATTGAAAAGAAATGCTGGCCCTCTTCGCTTGGATCACTTGGGTTTACCAATGAAGAAGGTGATATCTTGCGTGGGTATTGTGATACTTCCGATGATAATGATGATGTTCCGACCACCACACCTCCACCGCATTCGGCCAATATCACCAACAGTACCTCTACAGAGTGCAATAATGGCGGATTTTGATTGTGTTTTGTAAGATTAAACCATGATCATGAATAATGTAATAAAGACAGTTATAAATTAAATAGCTTTCTTCCATCTTTGTCAATTAGACTCGTTATGATTATGAAAATCAGAAATTTTCAATAGCTTGAACAACCCTAAAACGGGAAATAAACAACGAACAAGATCTACAATCACTTCATTAACTTCTAAGAACTACCTAAAATTTTAACCACCAAATCCATAGAGAGTACGCCCCTGTCGTTTCAACGCATAAACAACGTCCATCGCTGTAACAGTTTTCCGGCGAGCATGTTCGGTGTATGTGACGGCGTCTCTGATGACATTCTCGAGAAATATCTTGAGAACTCCACGGGTCTCCTCATATATCAAACCGCTGATACGCTTGACACCTCCTCTTCGAGCTAACCTTCTAATGGCGGGCTTTGTGATGCCTTGAATGTTATCGCGAAGAACTTTCCGGTGTCTCTTGGCTCCTCCCTTTCCCAATCCTTTGCCTCCCTTGCCACGGCCCGACATTTCAGAAAGATGCTAAGATCGAATTCAAAGGTGAAATTAGGGTTTTGGAATTGAAGACGATGAAGGAATTTGGTAATTTGATCGGTTGTTTATAGTCAGAGGCGGGATCCTTTCGTTTTAGTGTTGAATGACGTCCGTTCGATACGGATTAATCGGACGGTGATTGCACCTTTGAATAGCGATCCGCGTGATGTTCTTTTTCTTTCCAAACTATAATATAAAATTAAATATTACAATTATAATGTAATATTTAACAAATTGATCATATGTTAATGATACAAAATGGTTATCAATTAAAAGAAAATTTTAAAAATTTATAGTTTCGTAATTGTAATTGTAAAACAGTTAAATAAAAGCGAATATCTTCATATAATTATGAAATTGTTCATATAATTATAAAATTGTTTAAAGAAATATGATTTTATAATTTATCAATAAAAAAGTAAATTCACAAAGTGGTAATTTATGTGATTATCTCTAATGTATTATGTATACAAATAATCATTCACGCATTTTTCATGATCCATAGATAACATAGGTCACTTAACATGCTACCATCTTCAAAATTATTGAAACACAAAGCAGGAAGATCGTTGAAAAATCTTGAAAATCCTACTTTTGATGTCGTCCATTGCTGAATATCATGGGATGTCTCCATCTAATTTTATGTTTTTCACTTTTTTGAAATAGTTTAACTTGAGATGTTGATAAGGAATATCATGGTGTAGGTAGAACTGAAAGCACTTATATGCTTTCATAATAAGGATTTTGTTATGCAAGCAATCAAAGAAAACAATAAAATGAAACAGATAATTAACTTGGTTCGGTCAATGTATGTCCAAATGGATGAACCAAATAACTTTTCTATTATTTGACTGTCTCAAAACCAAGTGCCTTGGAACCCTATCATATAATTGTAAACTCTAAAAACTATAGAATCAAATCCATATATAGGAAAATCTGAAATAACAAGAGAGTCATCAACCTACTCCAAATACTCATCCTTTTGAAAAAATCATTCAAAATTTCTTCACTTTGTTATTCCAGGTTTCTATGAACTAGATAGCTAAAAGATTAGTTACATTTCTTAAAAATTTTGATATTTTTCAACCGGGATTCCATATAAAATGAAGCTCGGTCTTGCGCATAAACTCCACATTTGAAATAATGAGTGGTTCCACCTCGACCATTCGCCTTGAACCTGAGAACCCCGTTTATGTAGACCTTAACATTGTTGCCTTCTACATCATGGATAACGTTCAAACGAAACCATTTATTGTATATATTACGAAAAATAACATTTCTTTTATAGTAGTAAAGATTTCCATCGTAGACTCGAATCATCAAAGTTGTAGTATGCGGAGGGTCTGACCCAAACACTTGCATCACACTTACACCCGTTGTTCCATGTGGCACGAAGACATGGGCTTCAAATTGCCAAATACCCGTAGAATACATGTAACCCTATGCCATGCATAAAAGATCAATTGAGAACAAATTCAAACTTCTAGTAAATAAAATTTCAATCTATAAAATAACTACTTACATTGATGAATAATTCAGAGCGGGGGAGTGTGGGACTACCACGAGATAATGGTTCATCCGTGGAGAAAACCCATAGTTTGTGAACTTCATTGATGAAGCTATACCTCTCCTCAAGAGGAAGATTATATGGTTTATGGTTTATATAATAGTTAGAGTTGAAAGGGAGACGAGTGAAACCCAAAGCTAAATCGTTTGTAAGTTCACCATGAGTAACAATTACATGCATAAATAGGAAAATGAATCCAAAAATCGAAGTAATATGCTTCAAGTGACACATTTCTTTAATCTAATATAACTGAGTTTGAAACTTAGAATTATGCTCATAATCACGTATATCTATCTGTTCATTATATATAGTGTAGCCCACATTTGCTGGAATTATAAGTTTGGACCAAGTCTTACATAAGCTTTTGGACAAAGTAATAAGACTAAATATTATGACAAATTTACAATATGTTTAATTTTCGTTCTTTAAAAAAGACGGTGAATAAGTGAACATTTCTTGAATTTAAATTAATGCTTCATTATATGCTTTGGCGGAGGAACCAATGGAGGCATGTGATAGTGACAACCATTTTTTTCTTTACAAAAAACTTCAAAATCTTAATATATGATTTATATAAAATCGGATAGATATATCCACTCATAGAATAATAACCATTCATTTTCACAGGCACAAAGTTAAATTTGATCATCTAAACACTTAAAATTGTGGCCGTAGTTATATTTTCTTGATAAAAAATTATTAGTTACACAAGCAATATTTCGTCTCTATCTTTCACGTGTATCGCGAAATTCGCTCGATGATAGTCCAATAGAAATTGGCAATTTCAAATTAATGCAAGAAGATTGATAGTTATTAATCATGTTTGTGCAAAGGTGTGTTCAATTTTATAGAAACCAACAAACCAAAAATACTTAGTACATCAACATTCATATTGCACTTCCTTAAGTATGGGCAGGGGGAAAGCTACTCTAGCATAAACATATGAGAAATAAAAAATATGAGAAATTAAAAATCTTTCTACTTTTTGTTTCTACTATCTTCCTATATATTTTAGATGGTAACAAGTGTCATTAAATTTTATTTAAATTTGATTGAGATGTTAAATTTGTACATTTGTCATCATCTTAAATAAGTAGGAACAAAAATAGGAACAAAATGTAGAATGATATTTAATTTCTCTAAACGTATGGAATATGCACTTCTACACCTTATGACTTGTATTTGAACTTAACTTAAAACCCCGTTCTTTACTCGTATAAATTGCAACTAAAAAATGTGTGATGATCCTAAAATCACCAACAACTCTAACTAGTTGTATTAAAATGATTTATTTTCATAATTAGGAAAATTAAATAAGGACATTAAGCATTTTTTTAATGGTAGATGAGTGTATTAGAACACTAAAAGGAAAGTAAAACAAATATTACACGGATGACACAATTAGAATTGGATTTTTAAGCCAGCCTATCAATGTTTTAAAAAAACTGGTTTTTTAGTTGAACTGGTATGAGATCGATTTTCAGTTCGACCGTCGGGTCAAAATGATTCTAGAATTTTTATAATTTTATTTTTATTTTTATTTTCATGTGCACACAAGTTTAAACGTTAAAGATGTACATAAAAACAAATTCAACATTAAAAATACACATAAAAACAAGTTACAGATCACTCCAAATACATTATAAAAAATACATAACTATAAGTGTTACATCAATCCACATACATCAAAAGAAAATAAAATATAACACCTAAAGAAATATAGTTTTAGATAAATACACATTTCAAAAATGTTCAAAACATTTACCATGTGTGTTTATTCAATTTAAGATAAATCTAATTAGATGTGACATGACCACCAAAATTTGTTATGATAAATGTTTCATTTATGTGTGTTTTTATTCAATTCACCCGATTTTTTATAAAAATCAGTCAGTTCGTTCTGATCAAGAAATAGACATAAAACTATTGCTAGTTGGACCGCTCATTTCTCTAGTTTTCGATCCAACCGATTCAATTGACCAATTCGAACCGGTTTTTAAAACATTGCAACTTACCCAATTCACTATCAGTTTCTTATGTATGTTGTAAAATCCAAAAACAAGACTAAGTAATGTTTTTTTGGCTTGATAAGATGGAATAAAGTGGCATTCTGAAATCTTCGTAGAACCCACATAGTGGTAAGAATAAGGAAATACAATCATTTCCTTTGAGTACCACCGTCATTGATAAGACTCGACCAAGAGAACAACCCGATCATTGTTTGGAAGTTGGTAAAATAAAAACCCCATCCGAAGACACTTCATTATGGATTGCAATAACCATGTTGTAATGAAGAAAAAGACATTCAATATATTTTTGGAACAAACTCAGAAATATGACACATGAAATAATCAACATACATATCTCTCTTGTGGATATTATCTCTAGTAGACATGTCTATCATCACAATCATGATAAATTCATCGTTATGATAATTATTTATTATCTATGTTGTCGTCCAATCACACTGCCTTCTATCAGCGTCATCGTCTCATTTACATTTTTCAAAACTTTTTCAAACTTTAAAATACTATTGTTTAAACAAAATCATTTCAAGTATTTGTAACGTTTTAAAATTTAAGGCCAAAATTTCATTTTAATTATAATAAAAACCATCAAACCAAAATTGTTTATAAAACCATACAAGAACATCAGAGTATGCCAATCAACCAATCCAATACATCAGAGTTATATAAAGCGGAAATCATAGTGTGTGCAATGAGGTCATCCCAAACTCCTCCCCTTTGAACCAGAAGTACCAGAAACATAAATTAAAAACCGTAAGCACGAAGCTTAGTGAGTTCCCCAAAACACCACATACCATATATATCAAACATATAATGGGCCCCGTCTGGCATCGAGCCCCGCTCGGAACAGATCTTTCAATAATATGAGATGGGCCCCGCCTCATCACATTCATTAGGCCCCGCATGGCATCGGGTTCCGCCTGGTATATATACATACACATAAACACATGCAATAATCACAAAGATAATAACATACAATACACTCATCAGTCCTTGCCCGATATTGGGCCACGCCCGGGTATACATATCACATAACATACATGCAAAAGTCACACAAACAACGAGCATCCTAATCATAATAAACCATGGGCTAACATCGGTGCATTCGACCCGCCAAACACAATGAGGAAACTCACCTCAAGCTGCTGAATATCTCAGATAAAAGCTCGGGCTGTTGATCTGGAAAATCCCCGCGCTAACATCATCAAATAACACCCAATTAATAATTGGTCCACAACCCAAAGCTGGAATCCTATTCCGATGTCCGATACTTAGGGTAAAAGTCCATTTTACCCTTAAGTGCTTAATACTTGCACTCAAGCATCCAAATTTCAGATCCAAGTCTAAATAAACGTCCTAATCCATAAAGTTCTTAACTTGGAGCCTTTGCATGGCTCAAAAGGACCCAACACTCAATTTTTACCATTAAGACACATAATAAGAGCCCTAAATCATGCATGGATCAAGACAAGACATCAAGGATTCAAGGTTGTATTTTTAGGAACAACGGACCTCAGATAATCCAAGATCTAACATCCCAATCTTCTGGAGAAGCATGGCTTGAAGGACCCAAAAATGCACAAATGAAACCCTAAACTAGATCTAGCATAAGGAACAATCAAGTTAGGAGCTTTATACCTCAAATATCTTGCAAAGTTGATGAAGATCCTGGATCTTCAAGCTCCAAGTCCACCAAAGCTTCCACCACCAAGCTTCACTTCCTTCAAGGGGCACAAAACACCTCAAAAACCATACAATGGATCACAAACACTCAATGAAGATTAGGGTTTCATTCTTAGGGTTTTTAGAGATGGAGGTTGGTCATAAGAAACCCCAAATGCAACTTAAGGTGTTTAAATAGGGCACAAACCCTAAAAATTAGGGTTTGTCCCAGCTGAGCGTACACCCAGCATACGTGGGCGTCTCCGTGACCATCTAAGGAGCCAGTACGTCCAGCGTACTCATAGAGTACACCCAACATACTCGGCTAGGGACCATTTCACAAATATTTTAAAGATGAAGGGCTTAAGGGAATAAAACCTGGAAATGCAATGTTACAGTATTAACTCACATTTAACAAAAACCGATCCCACAAACATTTATGATTAAAACATTGGGTGTTACCATAAAGTATCATATAACCAATAACAAGAAAATAAGAATTACATCAATATATAGTAAGGAACTTGACAAGTTCCACTACATTCTCTATCTCTTAACTTCTGACTTCACTATCATATTTTCTATTTAAATAAAACATGTGATACATGGCATTAAAGAGATACATAATACAACCTGTGATACATGGCCAAGGTGGATAGAACCACATCATTCCACCAAGGTATCATCACATCAGCATGAAGACTTATTCTACGAAGCACTTAATGTTTTCACATATCAAATATTCGTTTTTCCAACACATTATTTTCTTTAAAAAACGTTTTTATCTTCAAGGCATTCTTTCAAAACTTACTATCATCCCTTCATGTTTATGTTCCAATATCATCTTTAGAGTGTCAATTCATTTTCATGAATGTTATTCACTTCTAATATGTCAATCATCATGTAGTTATCCATAGATTTCCTAAAATTCCTTTATGTATGACCAACATAAAATGAGCCTAGCCCAACATACAATGGGCACAACTCACTCATGAAAATGGGCCCATCCCTACATGCATGCCAATGGGCCCAACCCAATATATCAATGCAAAAGTGAGCCCACTCATGCAAATGGGCCCAACCCTAAGTTCAAGGTAGAGAGGTTTAAATATGGAAGAAACCATAGAGAATCATGAGCTTGGTTCAGAATAGTTGCCACGCCGTGGCGGCCTAATGCCATGTCGTGACGATTCAATAAATTACGCATTATTTTATTTGATGCCACAACGTGGGCATCCTTGCACCACGTCGTGGCACAAAGTTTTTTTCCAAAACTCAATCTTTAGCCCCTGATAAATATAAACTTAAGCTAGTCTGGAACACGAGTATTACACAAGGGAGGGTAGAAAACTAAACCCTAATCATTTAATCTCATTAATTTCGACATTGGGGTTTTACCCACTTCACTAAATCAATTTATAGGGTAAAATTGTCACACCCCCAAACCAAGATGGCGGAAACATTCGGGGGTGGATGACTTTCATGTATTGT